GAAAGAGGTCTGAAGTCTTCAATGTCAACATAACCCAGATGATCGGAAGACATTGCACAAAACAATGCGTTATCCTAGCAACGCACGTGGTATTCATTCGTAGCGTTTAGACAAAACGATTCTACCTGCAACATCATGGGACGAGCACACGTACCAACCGAGTAATCGCGTTGCTGTACAAAAAGTAGGGAAGACATGAGTACCTTTCAACTAAGGAGGCCCGCAACTGGACGATCCGAACACATCGGTACGGCAACAAAATGACCGTAAAGAGTAACAATTTATTCGATAATCAACTGGATGTTGTCACGTCTTTACTATAGCAGTTATTCGCCTCTCCTGTTTTCCCACAGATAGCGGAGAAGGTCCGAGAACAATGAAAATCACATTAGGAACATACATAGATGTGGCAAGCACTGCAGGAAGATAGAAACAAGAGCACCTTAGAACTACGCTGCAGACCGATGCAGAATTCAGAACCTACGACTTGTACTCCCATTGGATCACTACAAGCTGTATGGTCCTTCCCACATACAGTTAAACAGATCTAACATTTTCTTCCTCAAATACTTCTACTAGCTAACCATTTCACGATTGACCCTTGATAATCCTACGCGTCCTAACGGGTTTCTCATTCCAATGGATGTCTGAGTAAATTGTAAAACCGGTTGGAGCTACCGAAAATGAAATCTGGACTTGGAATTGCCCTTACCTATGACGCTGCTTAGACGCGATCGCCACTGTACAGCGCTACCGAAGCAACTAAATAGAAAGCGAGCTAATCGATTATCAAGCTGCGGCCACTGATGTACCATGATGCGAAGTGCGACTAACACAAAAGGATACCAACTTGATTGGTGTGATGAGCTCTCCTCCATCTAAAAACTCACCCAATGAGACACAGCGGCAAGCCATATACTACATTTTAACATTGAACCTCGTGGTTTTCCTTATTGAAGGGCGACGTCAATTACCAAATCTGACCAATTCAGTAACCTCCTTACTACCATGTGACGGACTAACACAATTTATTGAACATAAATGAACCAACAAGATTGCGAGCTCATCCGTCATCCTCGACCTTGGACCTAGTCTCCACAAACAAAGAATTGATGATGGATGCGATTTCTACCAGAAATTCATTAAGACTTCATGACCATACCGTGTACTGATTTGTTCGATATCTGCTACGCATGTTTAGCGCTAATTTCCACGGATAGAACTTGCGTATTTTTTAACCACACAGAAAGCTTAAGCTCTTGGCGCAAGGCATCCAATGGGTTTTCCTGAGAAGAATTTACGAAACACTTTTCTGGTGGTGGTGGTCAAGTGAGAAAGGTCAACAAAACAGCGGGCCGGAGGTCATGTGTTCAATTCAGTTACTGCGGCCCGGATTCTTCATTTATTGTATTCCCCGCAGGCCGTGGCAAACTGGTTGCAGACCGATATCTGAAAAGCGTCTGTACAGTTTTATAGTCAATAAATAAAATAAAATAAAGACTTTCATCGTTCATTACTCGTCTATGGATGTCATGAAAAAGATCAAACATTATCTATACAATTGTTTGAACATGGCTCATTCATGGTCGAACAAAGAAGTGGATTTCACAGAGGAATTTCTCACTCAGAGAGCATAAGACATTTCCTTGTAACAGTACCTACAATGCGAAACTTCTGCACGAAATTAACAGAGTTAACAAATTGATGTGCCAAGGAAATTCGGCGCACAAGTTTTGGCCCACTTCAAAGCTGTTGTATACAAATGTACACACCTTCCGAAATGACAAGCTTAGGTTTTTGGTGCTAATTTTGGCATCCCCTTTCTCGTGGCTGCCGAAATGCTGAAAAATCAATGCACTCAAAAGGTTCGTTGCACTTGCTGACATAGGGCTAGAGTTCACATTCCACATCCAGTTACTTTTTAATCTGCAAAGATGAGATCAAGACTGCTGCTTTAAAAACCAATTCATCGCCAACCAAAGATAACACGTCCACAAACATGGTCTAATCATTGGAACGACACATAAATGAGACGTGGGGTGGATTATTCCACTGAAAACACTGTCTACCTAATCATGAAAAAGATGTATTTTCCGATTTTGGGGAGGAAATTTTCGTGCCATGGCTTTTGCAAATCAATTAATCAATATCCGCGTACGGGTTGTGAACGATCATAGATAATCAATCGTAAGTTTATGACAACACTATCGGACACGAACCCCGTGCTTCGTTTGACTTCATTCGTAATTAGGTCGAACTTTGGAAATTTAAGCAAGTTCTGAACTCACACACAGATAAAATCCCATGGTACCAGACACGTGTTTATGGTTGGAATAGAGAAGTATGATTAAAAGCAAAGACCATCCAGGGAGGACGTAGCAGTAACAATAAAAAAGGTCAGTGGATCTATAACACTTCAACAACTGGTCGACACAAACAACAAGAGCCTGCAAGAGTACGGCATAAAAATGCCAGTTTAGATGACCATTTTAGACTGACGTCCTTCTGGGGTTTGACAGAAGCTTATCAGGACCTCCACACCTTTAAGTGGGCTAGCAATTACGCATTTGCGATTCCTGACAATGAACCCGAGAAATTTCTTTTGCACGTGATTTTATAAATAGACAAGGAAACCCTTCATGTAGC